TATCATGCTTTGCAGAGAACTTCAAAGTATATAAACCTAGTGAAGGCTTAAGCTACAACATATATTCAAGAGCTCACCAGGGCTTTATCCTTGAATCTTACTGTAACATAATTAACACCTCCTTCATCCATTGCTCATTAGCGTACTGGACATTAATGAGCCTATTTATTCTCATACGATTCTCTAAAGAAGGAACTTATTTGTTCTTACTGTGCAAAAAAAGCAATTATAAGATAGCTTAGAAATCAAAATGTAGGGTGTGTTGCTGCCTTTATGCTTTTTATTGCGTCCCAGATCTAATTTTAGGCTGCAGGTTGTTCAGCATGTTAGTTTTCCCTAAGACAGTTGCTATAGTGATTGCAGTGAATTCCTTTAATCTTGGTGTAGTTAAAATGTTCCTTCTTATGGGTTGAATTGATGCTGTTAAGTAGAAGCAAAATGTCACTCAAGTCATATACTTTTGTCCAGTAGTTTATAAAAAATTAATAAGAATACAGTGAGGAATTGAGCATAGTAACATTTTGTAGTGCAAGCCCATAATCACAACATCTTCCACCCAAACATGTACAACTACTGATCAAAAATACAATGAAATAAACAGAGGCAGTAACATTGGTATTTAAGGCATAGAATTGTTAGCCCATATTCTGCCCAATAAACCTTTTTAAAACTTGAATGCGTCCCCTGTTCCAAAACGTTTTTCTCCTTCAAATTCCACTGCAGAGCACTAGATGGCTAAAGGCATTTTTCTCAGAAAGATTATTAAAAATGACCTTGTAAAAATGGGCCACTATAATCATAGCACACTTGCAAAACTGATGCATGGCCATTTATTTAGCATCTATTCAAACAGCTCATCGTGAAAAGTGCATATGGAGCTCAGATCTGAGTAGAAACAATTCTCTTATAAAATACTGCTGTCTTGGATAGGTTCCATGTTTTCTAGTGGAGCAGTCAGTTCTAATCCATTCTAGGAGTGTAAGTGTTAGTAGTACTCTAAAATACAAAGCACACCTTGTGATTCTGATATAGTGCCAAGTAATTGTATCTTCCCCTCTGAGTAAATTCTTTATTTGTGTCATTTCTTATCGAGTAAATCTCTAGAGGACTACAGTGTAGGATATTTAGTTCTGTTTTTGCTTACTTTTAATTTATACTCCTTTGTGGTTGGGCATTTGCAGGTGTTCAAAAATTAGAACATATGGCTGAAATGCTGCTTCAGGAGTTTGGGAGATTCATAAGACTCAATCCATATATTACTAAAACTCTCCTGTCTGTTTGTAATCTTCAGTTAGCCCAAACAATGCATCTTAACGCAAAAAGTTTTAAATCAAGGTGCCTCAAATGTACTAGCTCAGGGGTCCTCAGCCTTGACAACTTTAAGACTTGTGGACTTCAACTCCCAGAATTCCTCAGCCAGCTTTGCTAGCTGAGGAATTCTGGGAGTTGAAGTCCACAAGTCTTAAAATTGTCAAGGCTGAGGACCCCTGTACTAGCTAAAAGAAAATGCATATAATATCTGGGACCCATTACTGTCATGGAATTGAAATTTTGAGACTCATCAGACCAGTTGTATTGGAAACTTGTGGTCATTACAGCACTGCTGCAATCGTGTGATCATGACTTCTGACACTCCCTGCCAGCTTCCTATAAACAAAGCCAACGAGGAAGCTGATAGGAAATCAGAAGGAAAACATAGTATTTTTGTACTATGAATCTAATCCCCTCCTTATTTGGTCAATAGCTTCGTTTGTGATAACGATATATATATATATTTCTTGAAATGGCGCATGGAATGCAACTGGTATCCCAAAGTGGTCATGACACAGCCTGTTAATAAGTAGAGCAATATGCAGAGTATTGGGTTACTGCATAAAGACATCAACTTCTACCTTTAGGAACTACTGCTAGGGAGAATCAAGTTCTGTCCCTCAACACAATTCAGACTCAGAGTCTAAGCAAATTTCTTGGAGGGGAGGGGGCAGGACCCTTAAAATTATGAATATGTGATCTGTAAAAAAATACATAAATTATGCTCACTCTCCCCTCCCCCCGTTCTCTCTGCACAAGTTAATGCTACTGTATAATGTTATTGAAGACCAAAATTGCTTGAAAACAGAATCACTCTGTTTAATATAGATCTAGGAGTAAGGAATAAGGGGGTGGTACTGTAGGATTTGTGAGCAGGAAGAGTAGGATGAGTATATTATAAAATCTATTGCTGAGCTTTTCTTAATTCTAGAATAAGTTAGAAAAAAAATAGGATTTTTTTTATTATTAATTAGTTCCACCGGGAGTCTGTTGCTGAAATTCGTATTTTAGTGGGAGCCATATTGATCAAATGAGGGTCTTCAATTTTATGTAAGTGCATTCTTAGTCCTATAATGGAAATGCCAGAGCTTCATCTTGGAGTTTTAGCATCTTTACACCACTAAAACTTAGTATCTATAACCTTTAACTGAGCAAACAGTAATCATAGGGGAACAGTTTTTGAACCAAAGGAGCTCAAATGGGCTAATTTACAGAATGCGTTCAAAATCTGGAACCCATGACTCTAGCGAGGTGAAAATTTGGAGAATTTGTGGTTGCTTCAGTGTTGCTGTGCTGCCACCCAGAGGTTCAGTAGACTGGTCCCACCCTAGCCTTCCAGAAGCCAGGTAGACCAGTTCACTTTTTGCCTGATGGAGATCAGAGAAATTGGATTCACCTGAGCTTGCCGGAGTCTGGATAGACCAGACCCACCATCAGCTGCTGGAGGGTGGTCAGTTGTGGTAAAGCTGGCAGGAAATCGGAAGTCACTCCCATTCCTACTTTTTTTTTTTTTTTTTTGCTTTTGATCATTTTTTTTTCTGTTTAGGAAAGGAAATATCTCTGAAACAATGATTCAGCAGGTCACAGGATGTCCAGTAAATGCTTTGCCATTGAGTTTTCCTCCTTCCCTTATCAGTTCATATCACTACTCATAAAATGCTACGCCAGACTTTGTTTTAATCATTGCTTGTTGAATAAATAATACGTCTGTAGCTTGCAAACAATCATCAGATTCACATAACATGCTAACCTAAAACAAATTAGCTACCGCATGGCTTAGTGCAACGCGCAACTCAGTTGTTATCCATTGTTTTCATCATTGGTAACCATATTAAAATGTACAGATTGAACATTGTGTGAACTAAAATATGAACACCAGATGAACTTTAAAAGCAAGATCATTATGTCAACAAACTGAGACTTCAATTTATTTCATTTATTCAGTGCTTAAAGCAACTCGAGTGCAGGATTCTCATTCAACCGTCTTGTTTGTTGAGCAGTAAAATGTGTAGATGATGCATATTTCATAACTTTGGAGCATTAATATATTGGTTTTAGCTGTCTTGCCCTTGTGAAAAAGCATAATGACTATAAATTATCTCACATCATTTTTCAATAACATTTATGCATTTACCTGTTCTGCTGCAAAAGAGATACAGAAGACAGCTTAAGATCCTATCTGCTGCCCATGAGAATAAACTGAAACAAGAGCCAAACAGTTTTGTAGTTTCATAATTATTTGTTGTTGGTCACAAACTTGTTTGGGTTTTTTAAAACCTTCATTTATTTTAGTCATAGAGATCTTATTGGATGCTATTGAGCCTCCAACATCTTCCTTATGCTTCCCTTTGTGTAACGATAGATCGTCCCCTTTCATCATGCCATTGTTTTATATAGAAACAGCATTTGGATTCAAATGCTGATACAAAAACATCATACATGGAGGGAAATGATTGCTGTTCTTTGACAATTCATCATATGCAAATGAATGCATATTTATTGAAAACCACTGTTACGTTTCTCCACTTGAAATTTATAGCCACCTTCATTCACTTCCTTATACTGGTATATCATTCTGTAAGACTGGTATATAGCTGAGAGAACGCCTTTCCAAAAGGCACCTATGAGAAGCAGACTGCAGACTGTTAAGTGTACAGCTCATCTTAAACAATATAGACGTGTATGTGTTCTTAGCATGTTGAGCTCAGGTTACTTGAGAAATGGCTGGACTCTGTATGAGTAATACTGTAGTTCAGAGGTTTTCAAACCTTTTCAGGCTGCAGAGCTGTTAGCTTAAAAAAAAAATCTTGGAACCTCCAATCAAAAGGCAAAGTTTTAGTGACATAAAATTGACTCATTTGAGTGAACTTTTTTTTTTTTCCTGGTCCTTAGTCTCTCACAAAACCCATTAAAATTTAGAGTACCACAGAACGGTTTGAAAATTTCTGTTCTAGTCTTTAATCTGTATTGCTCCACATTCTATTTTTCTTAGAATCAGGAAATCATTTTTTCCTGATTTTACAGAATTAAAAATAAATCATAAAGTTTTGAAAGTCACCATCTGTATTACTATCATTGTGACCTTATTTTTGTTTGCCTTGTTTTTTGCTCTCTTTTACTCTCGGCCATGACACTGACAAGGTTATCATAATCCATCCGACAGTGTGTAGCCTCTTTCCTACTTGCAGGAAATAAAAAGCATCTGACTAGGAGGGAATACATGGAGCAAGTTCCTTGCTGGCTATAATTTTGTTGTCATTTCAAGTGTTCCGTTGGTATAATTGATGTGACACGACTGGGCTTTACACACAGTCCCTTAGCTTGTGCTCAGTTTCAGAGTTAGTCTCCCTATCGTTCAATTTGTTTTTAAAGTTACATTGTATGTATATATATGTATGTATGTATGTAAACATAACCATCAAAAGCGGATAAGAGAGCATGAAACTTAATTTATTTTCTCTCATCACCTTGAAAAATGTAGTAATTGGTGTCCTCTTGCAATACTAAACTGAGTTGCTGTGCTGATGGCAGAGCCAGCAGGCGGTTCTTTTTTATTAATATTATAATTAAATAATTTTCTGGAAAAAGACCAAAAACAGATGCGACTTGATTGTGAAGTCTCTGCTGTTCCTTGGTGCAATCACTTGCATTTTCTTCAGAGAATTGACTTTTCTGTCTTGTTTTTACAGGTTGTTATCGATGCCTTCAGATTAATCAATGCTAATATGATGGTCTTAGGACATGAACCAAGACAAACAACTTCAAATCTGGGTCACTTAAACAAGCCATCTATCCAGGTATTTAATATTAATGTACTGAATGTAGCTTAAACCGTGTGTGTGTGTGTGTCTATGAATATACAGATGCACAAAAAAATTAATTTGATAAAGATTTAGATCTAGTGATTACTTTTTGATTTTTTCAATAATTTCAGATAGCTTGAAGATATTAGTAATGCATACTACTCTTTTACAGTTGCTCTGTCCTGATAAAATGTACTATTGTTTTAGAAATTGTCTGCAGATTTTCTTACTAACCAGTTCAAATCATTTTATATGCATGTTTGTGACTATTACATGATGGGGAGGGCAGTGCCTTATTGATATTTATGTGTTCTATTACTCTTCGCCTTAATTTTCCTTATGGATACAGAGGTCACCAGGGCAGTTTAGATTTCTTGGAAAATAGACACTGACTACAGTACATATATGCCACAAATATGTTTTCATTTCAGAAGATGTCTCTCTTTTTTCTCCGAGAGGCTTTGTTTATAATATCCTTGAGAATAGGCAGGGGACTTGTTTGCTTTCCTTCATGAGCCTATAGACCATGGATGATATTCATCAGTAACTTTGTATGTATGGTAACAAATCGAAAAGCCTACTCACAGTATTAGGCAGAATCCAGAAAATAATTTCAGAATGAAATCCTTAAGTATAGTTCATTTCTTTTAATGGGGTTATTTTCATGAAATATGCATAGGATTGCAATTTACTGTTACTATTTACTAATAAGAATAATAATAACTGCAAGTCCTTTGGAAGGATTTCATAGGTGGATAAAATGCCATATAAAGGACTTGATAGGTGATCTAAACATCTGAACTGCACAACCAATTATAATAATGATATTGTAATAAATAAGTAATTATTTACTATTTCCTAAATAAATAAGTTGGAACCTCAAGACTGCAGGTCAGAAAGGATGAAATCCCTCCGGAAATAAAACTTCATATTGTTATTGACTCCATCTTTCCTTTATAAAGATGTTGATTTTAAAATTCTCAATTTTATTTTAGAAATATGAAGCAGCCATCAAGCATGTTCCCATTCTGTCATCGCCTGCAGATGAATTATAATTTTTTTGTTTACTGTTAAGAATTACAATAGTACTTCTCTTAATTGCAAGCAATGTCTCTCATATTCCCCACTGGTCCAGGTTTTAAGATGACTTAGATAATGTTAGAGAACACAGCTTTGTCTTAGCTGCAGTGAAGTTTGATATGGATGCATTTACATCTTCTGGTTGAGCTGAGACTAAGGGAATTTGTTCTGGGAACTTGCTAGAAGGAAAGAGGATATAATTGTGCAGCTTGCTGTTTGTTTTGTAAGCTTCAGACCAAGATACTAAATTAACCTTATAAATAACAATGAATGTAAGATCTACTTATTCATAGTAAGAGATGGATGTAAACAGAGATCCATGCAGAAAGTATTTTGTTTCTTAAACAGGCATTCCCCCGTGAATGATTATTGCTTTGTCATTATCATTTTTCTGCACTAAAGGTAATAGTGCCAAAAATATTATTTTTCTTTTAAAATGAATTTTAAAAATCCCAGTCAGTTGCCATCAGAAGTCTAATTATTTCTCTGAAGATTAATTACAGGACTTCTAATAGCAACACATGCTGCAAACACAGTACTTGTAGTTGAAAACAGCAAATACTACTGTTGAGCTGCAATTTTTGTTCCTATCTTGACAATCTTGTATCTGTCAATAGTTTATACTCATATTTCAAAAACTATATGGGCTTCATGAATGATTATTTACAGATTTCCCTAATAAAATAGAACAACTTTTTCAATACCAAAGAATTTCTATTTAACAAGAATGAATAAAATTACTCCTGATTAGAATTGGTACAAACTACAAAGCCTAATGAGTATGGAAGAACCCTCTAATGTTTTTGATTGGGTACAGGCAAGCCTGTGCTTGTATGTTTCTAGAGAATATATTACTGGGCCTTTCAAGGCTGTATGTAATGACCTTTTATGCAAACCCCACGGTATTGTACTGCTTCCTAATTTTTCTATTTTTTATTATTTGCTTTCGGAAAGTTAAGTATCTTACTTTCAGTTCAGCTGTTATACAAGTATAGTCAGCCTATAAGATTGCTTTTTGCTTATTCCAGCTATAACCCTGACTTGTATATTTAAACATTTCCTCTAAAATTAGTCAACTTGACATACCCCATTCGTTAGGAAAAGAACTACCAAAAAGGGATCTGCATATTATTTGGTAATATCTCCCCATATAAAATGTAATACACTGCTTCCACTACTGAAGAGGTAGACTACTCTTCAGTGGAAACACTGGCAACAGAATAAAAGCTTAGCAGCAGTATTCAGTTGAGGATTTAATTTTGCTTTGTACATCTGTGGCTTTTTTGGATCCTAATCAGAAATAGTTCTGGGCATTTATTTAACTTTTGTTTGAACTAGAGAATCAAATAAAAATGGAATTTTAACAGAAATACAGATTCTTGATGGTTTGCTTGTAATCATTTAAAAAAACCATTGCATTATAAATGCTCCACAATTATCATCTGTAGTATATTTATTTATGCATTCCACACCATTTATATGCCACCTCTACTGTAGATTCACACTACAAAACAACTGAAATTTGTTTAAGTTAAATCCATTAATTAGGACAATGATTAATTATACTGTGTGCCAAGCTATTATTTTAAAAGTATCTCTGTCTATTGTATATTTATTGCCTTACCATTAAAAATATGCTTCATTTGAGTGTGCAGTACCAGAACATCTAGATATCGTTAAGTAGCTGCATATTTTCAGGAAAAAAGTTCATAAACTCATACCCTGAATGCAATATTTTAAGATAAATATTCTGTTTTGTTTGGCAGAAATGATCAGGTGCATTTTAGTAATGCTTTTTAAACATTCTCTTTCCAGGCTTTAATCCATGGGTTGAACAGACATTACTATTCCATTACTATCAACTACAGGAAGAATGAATTAGAACAGAAGGCAAGCTCTGTTTTCCTAGAATATTTTCAGTTACTAGTAACAAAAAATATCTTTGTCACTTCGATTCTTTATCACAGCAGGGGAATTTTTCTGACCAAGAGTTACAGAGGATGGGGCAGTATATTGGGCTACGGTTGGGGGGGGGGTGTTAATTGCCTCAAGGTATTTTATTTTGTCTTTTGTGAGGGCTTTTAAATTATATTGAGCCTATTTTAAGGATTAAACTACCATTTATGAGTATTCCTTTCCAGCTAATAAGAAAATGCTATTGAAATTTATTAACCCTAATAATTCGGGGTCTCCACATCTGCCTAATGTCATATAGCTGATCCATTGTCAACGCAAATAAAGTCTCAATGTGAACTGTGGTAGAAAGCAACATTTCTTCCAGAAGACATCTGCATGCATAAGTAGTCAAATGTGCTAGTAAATATGTGGTTGGCAAAAATCAGTCTGACTTAGACAATTTATGAACATCTTTGTTTAAATTATGATAAAAATATGGCTATTCTATTTTTAAAGCTACATGTTTCTGAAAGCTATTTTCTGTTTTTGTAGTGCTATTACAATGAATCTGTTAATTTTCTTGCCTTTATTTATTTATTTTTAAAAGCACATACACTCTTTTCTTACATAGCTCAAACCTGCTTACACAAGCCAGCTTATCCATATAATCCATCCAAAAATAATTCAGCTATTCTTGAATATTTACAATCAACAAAACATATAAACAGCAGCAACTGATTGAAATTTTATTTTGTAAAGCATATTAGACACAGTTTACCAGCCTTCTCAAACATTTGCGTGATTGAGCACTGGCAGTTTTGTTCAAGGAGCCCAGGGCTACCACTGTTGTTCTTAAATATATATATATACAATTTTTCTTTCATTTTCTGAGGTAAGTTCTGTGAAGGTTGTTAGATCAGCCACAGGTATCATTTTTTTCCACAAATTATAACTATAGGCATACTTTTGTATCTATAGTTCCAGTAGTCTAACTAAAAACATAACTCTGTATACTTTTTTCCAAGTTTGCTAATTTTTCCCAAATGCAGACATTTTAGTTTTTATGCCCACAATAGATTCCATCTGTTCATGATTAAAGTTGATTTTAGAGGCAATATTAACTGTTCAGATACCTTTCCACACTAATTATCTTTATAGGAGAATGTAGACATTAACTAAGGTCATTCTTCAATCATAAGTGTTCAGTAGTGTTCTTGAAGGTGATAGATTCAAACAGAAAAACCAGTCTTCTCACCAGGAGCTCAGTTGGGCTTGCAAGAACCAAGTGCTAAGGTCTTTGCTGCTTCAAATTCTCACTGCTATAGGAAACACAGGAGGGCAATTTTGTTGAAGTAGGGAACGGTTGTGTGAGCTTAGATGCTCTGTGTGATATACCTGCACTTTCAAAACATGGGAAAAGTGATATTTGAGCTGGTTCTTTTGCATCTTGGTTTATACAGTGCATCTTTTTCCCCCCTCTGCATTCTGGAGGTTGGGCTTTAAAATTAAGCTTTGGGAACATTACTTTGGTTCATTTCACTGCATGCATTTTTATCAAGGTGATAACAGTAATTGTCAAGTGTGATTTAAAAAGGGTTTAAGAAATGAAGATTATTTTCATGAATGTATGCAGCCTTTGCTCAGTGTCCTGGCATCCATGCTTCCTATATCTTCCTTGTCTGTATTCATGATTTCATACTCATGGCTGAGAATAGGACTTCTGCCGTTTTAACACCAATTATTTATTGGAAGCTGATAGTCTGGCAAAAGGCCTAAAACCACATGAACCCAAACAGGTTTTAGCACTCAATCATGTCTTCATAAATCCCCCTATGAGTGTGGGTTCAAATTTCACAATGACCTTACAAAGCAAACAATTTTTATCTTATCAGATGGACTCAGAGGGAATGGATAGTTAAGTCTATGATGAGCTAATGTATGAGACAGAAAAAGTTGTCTGAGGTAGCCTAGATAATTCGGGGTTGACACCAGTTTTCTAAATTTAAACTCTCCCATGCTAGAAACTTTTGTATCTCTTTGTATTTATTATGATAAAGCATAACTGAGCTACTTTTAGCTCCATATTCTGCTTCTGTTATGGCACCGGAATGTTGCCCCCTTGAAATGAAGGATTCAGCAGTCTTTGTAGATTTCCTGTTGTACCATTTTTTCTCCCGTCCCTCACTTTAAAGAATTGAGGGAGAAATCTCTAAAAAAAAGAGTCAGCAGTCTTGCTGGGAGTTAGAAAGGAAAAGAACATTATTAAATATTCTCTCCTAGTCATCTGGCTATTTTTTCCTGCTCTGGATCAGAACTCATCTTCCTGTTCTAGATTAGAACTCATCTTAAGAAATGCTTCTATCATTATTTGTTTGTTTATATTTATTTATTAAATGTATATGTCACCTGTCTCACTGTAACAATGACTCTGGGTGGCTTATAGCATAATAAGGTAATACAAAATAATTAAAAATTAAGAAATATTAAATCATTAACTAGAGTTTCTCTGGACAGCAAGACAGGCAACATATAATTTTAAAAATAAATAAATTAACAAAGAAATTAGGTCTAACCTAGTAGTTATTTGTGATTTCTCATCTGTCCTCCTAATACCACTTTCATGTTCAAAATGTGTAAATGTATAAGCCACAAATACGGTTATTTTACTATTTGCTCTCTATTGTTCTTCTTTCTTTTGGGTAGATGTTACTGAATTTACATAAGAAAAGTTGGATGGAAGGTTTAACTCTTCAAGACTACAGTGAACACTGTAAGCTCAATGAAACAGTGGTAAAGGAAATGCTGGAACTAGCAAAGAACTATAACAAGGTACCATATTGGGCCTCTGCCAGACAATTACTTGACTTGTCAGGTTAGCTTCTGGAAGCATCGATTCAAAAATTGATTCCAATGTAATGTGGAGAAAAAGGAAATACCCAACCTTGAAAAAATAAAATGACATTAATAATTTCAAGAAATTAGCACAACTTATATTAACATCTTGGAAATGGACAGACCTTGCCTTTTATTTTTTTAAAAACCCAAGTCATTGCAGTCAAAGCAAAGAAATGCTGAGTTTTGTGAAAAGATGTGCAGGTCAAAAGTAGTGAAAAGGCTTCTTGCTTGTGTTGTCAGAGGAATTTGTGTTAGAGTCAGTGACATTTGTATAATCCATGTTATTTCTGATTTTGTTCTCTTTTCATTGTATTGAGAAGATATGTTGCTCTGACCAAATTGATATTAACCATACACCACTAAGCACTTATAAAAATCATTCGAATAATTTTGAGGAAGGCATTGGCTTCTGTCCTGATGTACTATTTAGTGCCTTTGTTGAACCACTATAGTGAAGGGGATTTGGGGGGGGGGGTGTCCCTTAAAATAACATTAAAGCTTCAGCTTCAATGGAAAAAGACAAAGTTTATATTTTGAGAAGCTTTTGAAATAATAAGATACTAAATACCAACCTTTTTTACATTTGTTTTACAGGCTGTGGAAGAAGAGGATAAAATGACACCTGAACAGCTGGCAATAAAAAATGTTGGCAAGCAGGTAAGAAACTACACTGGTATGAAAAAAAATTACTTGTGTGTTTAATCATATATGGATGATTTTTGTTGTTCTTAATTTCTATAACAGCCATTTATTTCCACTATAATTACTTAAAGTCCATGACTTAAAAGTGTATCAACAATGGACATAAAATTGACATTTGACATCTGATATAGCCAGGCAGTTCTTATTTAGCAACCACAATTGGGACCAGAAATCTGGTTGTTAAGTGAATCAGACACTAAGTAATACCAAGACTGTGCTTATGATCTTAATTTAGTTTTCTGTGAAGGTCATAAATATGGGGATAGTAAAGTTATTTTTTCATCACTGTTGTAACTGCAAACTGCTGAATGAGGCAGTTACTAAACAAGTACCTGTAAAGTAGTTTTTCTTCCTTAATAAATCATCTTTTATCCCTAGCCTTACATATAGTGTGTTTCTCCTAGTATTCAGGATGCCTGAGTATAATGTAGTATAATGTATAATGAGTATGTTTGTTTATTAAATTTCTAGAACACCCATCTCATTTAAGAAGTGACTCATTATGAGGAACTCACAATTTTTCTTACATATCTTTTTCCATTGTTGCCTGTTAAAGTGTGCTAAAAAGAAATCTCTATATTGCAGATTTATAATTCTGCTTTCAAATAAAAGCGAGTGCTACAGTGGATAGTGAGAGGCTGGATTATATATCAGCAATCTGTAGTTTAAATATTACTTGATTAGGTGGTCTTAAGATTTGTAGTTGTGTCTCTGCCCTTTTCCTTAGTTTTAGAAATGATATTAAACTAATATGTTCATATGGTATATTGACTCCCATAACTTCTTCAAGAACATTTACTTGGAAATGATGTATGTGCACTCCAGGGTGCCTGGGTTCAGAAAGTCACTTGTCTAAAAGGTGATCTAAATATTCTTGAACGTATTTTGATCAATTTAGAATAGAATAGAACAGTGATGGTGAACCTTTTAGAGACCAAGTGCCCAAACTGCAACCCAAAACCCACTTATGTATCATTGGGTGCCGGGTGGGCATGGCCCATTGGGTGGGTGTGGCTGTGGTAGTAACAGCAGACTGGGTGGGACTAAAAAGTTCAATCAATTCCAACGTTGCGATATCTTTTTCTTCCCGCGAGAAGTTGAAATTGATTGATTGAACCTTTTTTTTTACACACGGCGGCAGAGGCCTAAAGCAAAAAGGTATTATAAAACCCAGCTGTAGGACTGGGACAATGGTGCGCGTGCCCACAGAGAGGGCTCTGAGTGCCACCTGTGGCACCCGTGCCATGGGTTCGCCACCATGGGAATAGAATATATTGTGATTGTGTAACTCACAATGAACTTAAGTGCTGTCCACAGTGCACGCTACATACAAGTAAAAACCACAAATAAAAACATACATTGTATACCCACATCCTTCACATTCTATTCACCATTGTGCTGTCCCTAATATTGCACTTCAGTGTTGCAGCTTCATTTCCACACTATAAGGAAAATTATCTCAAGAGATACTTAATCTATGTTTTGGAAAAGGTTGTCAAGACTTTAGCTTTTGAATGTATGATTATTTAGCTATTGTTTTAATTGTGTCTTTATTGTTCAATATCTTCTTTTGCCTGTTAACTGTCTGAATATTATCAGATGGAAAGATGGGGTACATATTTAAATAACAATAAGCTTCCAGCAGTCTAACCCTCATAGCTAACTATTGGGAAATATAGCTCAGCAGTCTCTGTATTCCTGCAGGAGAACAATATTGTTGGAAGAGAAAACTCTAAAGATCACAGAACATGCAGAGTTTTTTTAAAGTAGTTCTTAAATTTAGCAATACAAATAATAAAGTCTGAATTATTGCAGATATTAAAATCAAAAATTGTCACTATTAGCTGTAGTTATCTAAATGATGAAACAACAATGTGAAGTTAGTGCTTAATAGCTTTTATCTTTTCTGTTCCCTTTGAAACGAATTGGGCTTTTCCTAAAAGCTTAGTCTTAGATAATAATAGCTAAGTGACCTGCCTGGTGGAAGGGATTCAGGAAACCATGACCAGAGATTTGGATCCAGTGAGGAATCCTTATTCCAAGCTAACTTACTCCTTAATGAAACCACATTAACCAATCCAGACATGGATATACTTTTTTTTTCTCCAGTGGCAAGCTATGCATAAATTAAATATTGAACACTTCTAAAAATAACACTTTAGCAGTACTTCAGGTTTCCACTTCAAACATAGGGCTTTTCCCCCTTAAGTGTATTTTATGGTTTGTTTTCATTTATTTAATTGGAAAGTGCTTTTGTTTTGAGTGAGTATATCTTAAAATAACATGGGATGAAATCCCAGTTCCATTGGAAGCAAATGGCAAAGCTCCCATTGATTTCATTAATGAACTTGATAAATAAAGAATGTTATGATGGAGTTATTATTTAAATTGACTAGTAATTTACAAATGTGATACATATATAAGTACTTAAATATAGTATACAGTATGCGAGATGTTTAGATCATTATTATTTGAATCGCAGTGTAAAAGTAATTAATGTACTGTACATCATATTTGGCCCTATGTTTACAACATAGCTTGGTTTTCAAGAAAAATCGTTTGTAAAATGACCCAAGTGTTTTGAAAGTCTATTTTAGACAAGCTCACAGCTCCAATCAACTGTCAGCACACTAGTAATTAAGATGTGATAAAAAAATCTTTCATTATGAAACCAAATTCTGGATTGTAAATCAGCAAGAGTTTTTTAAGCTGGGCAGTATTAAAGTACTTGCACAGTATAAAATAATTAGTTTGCTAATACCTTTTATAACTTCATGCATAGCACTGTTTCTTGACTCAAAATTAGGGCCATAAATATGTCTATTGATCACTGGTGGTCCAGCATTTGTGCATTTAGTTTTGCCTGGGATAGATAATTCCTGGAAAATGTTAGGGAATTTCTAGAAGCTTAGCATTCAGATAAACCAGCCATCAATATAAATAGAAATAAATCAAATTTACACATCATTCAAAAGAGACAATAAAAAAGCTAAGAAAAAAACAACCAGAACACATTCTTTCCAGCAGCCAGTATCCAGATAAATGGGAATTAACACAAGGCAGACATCAAGAAGAAAATCATATCCTAATCAAGAAACTACCAAGGGGAAAACCACATCCCCCAAACACTGCGAGGTCAAGCTATTATATATAAATAGGGAACAAGCCTGCCTATTTTATGTATAGCACTGATGATTTCGCTAGCACTGATGATGTTACCTAGTTTAGTAATGAAGCATCTGAAGTAAACAACCAAATTTAGAGAGCATCAAGGACTCCACAGTATTTCTATCTGATAATTTTAAATGACCAAGAAAATACTATAGTTGGCAGTATAAAAAAATTAATAACTAATACATAGAAATGTAAATCCAACTGTTCAAAATTCCAATTTTACATCAATACTGGGATAGCATTCAGACAGATATAAAAAATATGCAGCCCCGGGCAATCTAACAGCTCATAATTTCAGCAGTATTTTTGTTAGATACTGCCTTATATTGCTTGCATAATAGAACTCTGAACTTTAATTGCTTAACTGTATCAGTACTGCATTAAATGGAAACAACCATTTGTAAATGTGATATTTCAATAAATTATAAACAATCTTTTGAAATTATATTTTAGGATCCTAAACGTCATTTAGAAGAACACGTGGATGTGCTGATGACTTGCAACATTGTCCAGTGTTTAGCAGCAATGTTGGATACTGTTGTATTTAAATAATGACTTATCATAAATGTTATTTGCTGACTATAATCATCTATTGTTTAAAGCACTGAGGCTAAGATATATTTGGATGTCAGAGACATCTGGCATCATTTGCAGTCTAAGAGCATCACTCTAACACCTTTTCATCTCTGTTGTGCAATTACTTTGGGTATTTTTTTAATGCAAGATCTCTGCAGATTCTAAAACAATTCAAGAACAAGGTTAAAAAGCGTATTTTCATTTTCGTTTTGAAGATAATTGGCAGCACATATATATCTTAATTATTGATATGTGGCTTTTTAAAATGTCTGTTAAACTACTTAGTGTTTTGCTGACATTGTAATTGAGAAAGAATCAATTATTGACAATACTGTACAAAATTCAACAAGGAGAGAAATGCCTTTCATTTGCCATGGACATGATTTTTTTGTTAATGAAAACCTGGTCATCAATTTTGTTGAACCTTCTGTCTAATGACATTTCTGTAACTTACACATCTGCTTTGTCAAACACAGAACTCAGTAGAATTCCCCAAAAGTACAGTTTCCTGTCCCCGTCCCCAAAGTTCCTCCTTCCATATAGCTGTAAATGTCTCTACAATGTATAAACAAAGCACAGAAGATAATAAAAGCCTAGAACCAACATCTGAAAAGTTACAACAAATCTGTTACAGACAATGTCATCAAAATATGGATATTATTTGTCAACCTACTCTGTAAATACCATTGAAGTACATGCTGAGAGATAAAATTACAATTTATTTTGGGTTTTTTTTAAACATTGAAAATAGACATTTCTGAAAGAAAGCTGCAGGGCTTTCCAACATTATGTACACAACTAAAGTATAAGAAAAAAAAATATTGACCTCTTTATGAGAAACTGTTATGGAAACCAATTTTTAATTTGTAAATGAAATACAAGTTTATAAAGGAATAAAGAAATACCAATTGCTAAGAAATAGTCTGGGTCTAATTATTTTTTATTTGTATAATTGATAAATTTAACCATCACAGTACTTTTTTTATTTGTTTTTATTCTGCCTTTATTTTTATGAATACACATAAAAAACCCTAATATGTAATTGCTTTATTTGCTATGCTCCCTGTATAAATCAACAGAAATCACATTATTTGCTTATTTTTATCCCGCCTTTATTATTTTTAAAAATACAACATTAAAAAACCCTAATATATAATTGCTTTAGTTACTCTGCTCCCTGTACATGCAGGTATAAGTCAGCAGAAATCTTATACTAGAGCTCAACATTATTTCCAAGATAAGGCTTTTCTCTTTGGCATACTTTAAATTTGAAATAATTTATTTTATAAAAGAAATATCAATTTAGGTAAGCACTGAGCAGAATTTCCAATAATCATGAAGTGAAACATCAATACCCTGCAATGCTTTCTAGCTAATTAACACTTCCTTGAGGATAGGGAATGTTACCCCCTGCCTGAAGGAGGCAGTTATTAGACTTATGTTTTTATTATTTTCTTTTTTAGAAATCTTCCCTTGATCCAGCAGTTCTGTGCAATTATAGGTTAGTCTCAAGATATTTCATTACTGGAAGTGGTAATCATAAATATGATGGCCTCACAGCTCCAGATGTACCTAGATTATGCTGAGAATCTGGACCATTTTAAATTAGGCTTTTGACTGGTATATGGTATTGAAAATGCTTTGGTCACCTAAGTGATCACCCATACTGAAACAGTGCAGCCTGCTAAATATTTTGAGCACAGACTTTTTCTTAATACCATCCATTATGCTATTCTGAACTGTGTGGCAGGATTAGGCATTTAGTATACTATTTTATATTTCTGCTCCTTCCTCTGTCTAGGATGCTGACTTACAGTGTCCCACAGAGATCTCCCATTGACATGAAAAGGCTGGGGAAGATCTTCTACCTGTCATTGGACTCATAGTTGACATAGTGAATTTGCAAAATTATGGCCAACCGTCAGTTACAATCTTTCCCCAATCAGCAGCAATTTTCCATGGAGTAGTTATATGCCGCCTTGACTATTACTCAATGTTCTGTGTGTCTGTCTTTGATAATACCTTGAAACTTCAATTGGTGCAAATGCCATAGCTCAGGGGTCCCCAGCCCCCCAGTCCATGGACTGCTACCGGTCTGCAGCATGCCAGAAACCAGACTGCGCAAATAAGCAAAGCCCCATCCGCGGGATGCAGGCAGCACACGAAACCAGGTCCCCTCCAGTCCTCAGTAAAACTTCTCTCCGTGGAACCGGTCCCTGGTTCCCAAAAGGTTGGGGGCCTCTGCCATAGCTAACTGGGAGAAAATGCAATAATTTGCATTAAAAATCAGCACTTATACTGTACCAGTAATCAACTAGCTATAAGACACAGACTGATCAAACAAACAACAGAATCTGACAATTGAATGGAATAACTTGTCTTGCACCTAATATCTGCAGAATAAACTTGATATTTCCTTAGCTTCTGATCTGTGATGGAGAGCTATTCCTATGCCATTCCAGTCCAAGAATGCACTTCACCAGAGGTCAGAAGTAATGTTTCCCTTCAAAATACATCCTGTTCACAATTTTTTAAGTTGCCTTTAGTATTAAAACAGTTTGCATGTTAACTTAAACTTCATTAAGTCACTGTGCAGAAAGGTAAGTTATAAGTAATGTGTACATGCACACAAACATTTTACATATTAAATACATTTGTTATTGTTTCTAATGCAGTGATTCTCAACCTGTGGGTCGGGACCCCATTTGGGGTCGATCGACCATTTCATGGGGGTCGCCAAGCAAGGCTGTCCGCCATTTTTTTTGTCCGCCATTTTTTTTTGTCTGCCATTTTCCCCCCCTTTTCCGGTGGGTGCCTTACCTCCCTTGGGCTGGGCCAGCTGGTGGTCGGCCTGCTCCATCTCTGCCGCTTGCTAGCTACACCTCGGCCGGCGCAGGGGGCGGAACCACACATGCGCGGCGCTCCTGGGCAGGGAAAGTCCTCGACTTATTACCGGTTGGGTAGTCCTCAACTTACGACCGGTTTAGTCCTCGACTTACGACCGGTTTAGTCCTCGACTTACGACCGGTTGGGGTCACGGCATTAAAAAGGTTGAGAACCACTGTTCTAATGCATGGTGACAGCATGGTGCACTCCAGATGTGCTGGATAGACCTGATTAGAGATGTAGCTCAAGACATCTAGGAAGGTCTGAGAGAGTGTACACATATCTGCTTCAAAATTAAACTGATTACATATAAAGCTACTTAAATAAAGTGAGATCAACTTATCCATTCTTAGAAATGCTTGGAAATACTTTTGTGTTCTTTGCAAACAAAAGGAGGTACGCTCTGCTTTGCATTTTTCCATTGTCAGCAACTCTTAGTAACTATCAAAAGAGAAAACCACACCCCACCAACACTGACAGGGCAAGTTACTGTATAAGACTAGGAACTAAACCCCACACTCACTAGCACTGGTGATGCATTCTAATAGGGTAAATGAGGGTCAGCAAGCAAACAAGTTCAGAGACACCACAAGTATTTTTCTCTGAAAATTTTAAATGACCAAGAAATTACTATAGTTGGCAATGTAGCAAGTTTAATAGCATAACTCTAACATAGAAGAAAATGTCACATCTGAAAGCTGTCACTATCAAGCTGAGAGACCACCAAAGACTCCATTCTAATTTCTCACCACTGAAATTATCCAGCCTTTAGGTTGACCGGAACTCCTTAATTATCAACTGAAACCTATTCACTCAATGAGTGGAAATGTAATAGTGAAGTTTGGAGTCGGATGCAGTTTTTTTTAAAAAAAAAAAAAAAACCTAAAAATTGCAGTAGTTCTTGCACCAATTAACTTCAACTCTAAGAGATACAGCACTCTATTACTTTTGTTAATATTTTATCTTCTACCCTCCTTTTGGTCAGATGGGGCATTTTTATGTCAAAATCTGCATTATGTTGGGCCTTGTTAACCAGTTTAAGAATAATAGTCTGCATATGGCAATCTTGTCTCCAGTAGTGTTAATTGCTACAGAATTAACACATGTGAGTATTGTCTATTGGTGATGAAAACTGATCTGAAATTTAAGCATGAAATTTTTAAGCATTAAAAATACGGATTTTATTAGCTCTTTCAAGATGTATGGCACAAAAGCACATTTATGCATACATATATGTTTCTCAGAAAAAGATGGAACTATATGTTAATAACTAAGAATGTGGAATTTAAACAGTCCAACTGAATAAACCTAGAATAAAAAAGTGGCACTAGAAAACAAAACATGAATTTGGTGTTGAGCATTCAACTGTAGAATTGAAGTATTTATATCATGCAAAACAATGGCTTCCTATGCTAAAAATCACAAGTTCTCACCATTTTTAATTGATGGGGATATTATTTTTAGCATTTATTCAATCTACAGATCTCAGTCTCCTTATTGCAGCTCCTCTTCCATCCTCTCATAAAATCTGCCTTAAACCAGTTGTGACCACTAGTAGGACAACAAATGAAAGGTAATTAGAAGTTTAAACTACCCCAATCATGTCAGGTTTCCACAAGGCTTACAAGTAATCTATTTGACTGGAATTTTGGAGGGCCTGGTTTTGCCATTATTCCCCCCAACATATTTGTTTAATCTACTGCTATATTCAAGCAACAACAGTTTTGTTATAGCCCGAGTAAATTGTTGCTCACGCAAAACAGTGGAAGTGTGACCAAAGTACTTCCTGAAAGAAGACAGTTCTTATGCCTGACATTAGTACCATAAGATTGCATTGCTCACAACTTGCACCACCTTAAAACACTGATGACTAGATTGTGGCATAAGCTTTTGCTGAAACAGACCAACAAGAACTGTTCCTGGGGGAATGTATTAATTAACTCCAACTTAGCAGCTTTGTTTTAGAGTTTCCCTTTGAAACTTCTTGTTGTTGTTGCAATATGGCAACTTTATGGGCTACAACAGAATGTCTTGGGAAACAGGAGACTGAAGTGTGTTACCACTTTGGGGCTAGAATTCTGTACTGATTTATATGGGAGTAAGGCATACATACTGCCAGATTTCTGTCCACTGATTGCATGTGGTAGACTCTGAAGTTTATGCCTGTAACAGTATGGTTAAAAAGAAAAAAGAAAAACTCACATCTCATTCATCATGGGAGCAAGATAAGAGACTAAACTTTGTTTAATTGAATGGATTTTGTTGTTGTTGAACTGAGTGGAACATTTTTCAATAACCCATTAGGGAAGCATATTTTCTCATCTTCCTGAGAACTCATTCTTCTTTTTAAAATGTTATTCCTATCAGTATTGTGACATTGGAAGAGATTAATTCTAAAAATGTGGAATTAACTCTCATATAGAATAAATTCAGCTAAGAAATAGGAATGTTGGCTTTTTAGAAGCAGAACTTGAAGTCTAGGGTTTATATAATAAATTAACCCATTTATTTTAATGACTCTTCTCCCAGTGTTTAATATGTATCAAACATTGTGTGTCAGAATGGCAAAAAAAAAAAAGGGGGGGGGAAATTGTCAAACTTCAAGCAAATTTTGAAATTCGAGTAGGCAGTACAATAAATAACCCGTGATTAACTAAAATGTACAGTTAGGGTTGCCAGGCGTCCACTATTTGAGCGGACAGTCCGCTTTTTTCACATTATGTTCACTATATTTTTTTTTTCACAAAATAGTGGACATTTTTTTTTATTCAAAAGCTTTATGATGAAATGGTACGTAATCTAAAGCTGTACAGTCTACTTTTTTTACTACTTAACCCCCCCCCCCCCNAGAAGCAACCTAGAACTAAGGAGAAACTTCCTGACAGTTAGAACAATTAACCAGTGGAACAACCTGCCTCCAGAAGCGGTGAATGCTCCAACACTGGAAGTTTTTAAGAAGAGACTGGACAGCCATTTGTCTGAAATGGTATAGGGTTTCCTGCCTGAGCAGGGGGTTGGACTAGATGACCTTCA